CACCCCACATCCAGGGGGAATGGCGTGGAAACGGACTGACCACCGACCTGCAGTCCAGGTGCCGGGGGCAGGTGAGCGTCAGCCCGGCTGAGCGTGCAAACCTCACTCGGCTGGTCTTTCGGCCTCAAGAACTCGCCGCATCTTTGGAGACGCCCAGCTCCTGGGTGCGCATGGCTCCTGGAGGAAGCGCTGCAGGGCCGTGTTTGTGTTTGGGAGCCCAAGCCTCCATCCTGGGAGCACGAGCTTCACTCCAGAGACCCAGGATCTAGAATCATGAGGCCCTCACGGCGGGTCTGGAGCGGGTGCATCTGCAGCGTCCGCCCGGCGCCAGGCGTGGTGTAAGGAGCTCAGGCACTGAGTCCCCGGGGCCCTCTGGGGGAAGCTCTAAACCACGCCCACCTGCAGGCAAGGAGGCCAAGTTGCAGAAATTCTCAGGAACCTCTTCAAGGCCACAGACCCCCAGGACAGGGCGTAAGGGGTGCTGAGCTAGAGTCAGACCAGGGTTGGCGAGCTCCATCAAGTCCATCCGAAACCCTGTCCAGGCCAGTCCATGGCCCAGTGAGTCAGGGTGGGGGTACATGGGGCAAGGATGTTGTTTGGCCCAAGAGCTGAGCATGGGGTCAGCGTTCCCTGAGAGGCCCGGGGTGGGGTGGGGGCGGGGGGCAGATGTCCACAGAGGAAACAGGCACAGAGACAGATGTAGGGTGAGCGGAACTCAGCGGCGGCCCCCACAGTGTCAGCTCCCAATCCTGGAAACTGTAAACAGAAGTTTGTACAGAAACAGGGTCTTGTGAGCATGATTAGCTCAAGGGTCTCTGAAGGGGGCCTAGCTGGGGTTATTCGCTGGGCTCTCAGCTGCCACAGGGTCCCGGCAGGAGGGCGGCGACCGCAGAGGAAGGGGAGAGAACAGAGACAGAGCTCGGGGTGCTGAGGTCACGGCGAGCAGAGCCCAGAGCACACAGAAACGCCCTGCCTCCCGTGCTCTCCCCGTGGCTCAGACGGTGGAGGACACGCCCGCAAAGCCCCCTCCCCTGCTGGGCAGGGCATCCTCCTCGGCAGACCGGAGTTGGGCAACATGGTCCCCGGTCCTCAGAAGGCCCCCTGCATAATGAAACCTTGATGACGCCGCCTCGGAGCAGAGCGTATTGACCACGGCAGGGCAGACGCGTTCATCGTCTTTCTGTCATCACATGAGAGAATCTATCTCTCATTAAAAAAGGCCGATAGCTCCCGTGTCCCGGTGATTATCAGCAACCTGCTCTGACGGCTGAGTGAGCCAGCTCCTGGACCCAGAGAGTAAGTGCAGGCCGGGGGGCACCGGGGGAGGGGCCAAGAGTTGAACCCGAGTAACAGATTCCCAGCAACACTGGCCTGCCTGGCGGATCCCCTGGTGGGAGAGGGGCCACCCATGGGGCCTGACGGAGCCCGGAGGAGGGGTACAGGGGGCAGGGCGCCAGGCACCGGGACAGCGGGTTCATCCGACCTGCCTGCAGGACTGAGGCCTGGTCTCTGGGCTCCACCCTCCAGATGCCCAGAAGACACAGCGACAAAAGTACCTCCCAGAGGGGACCCCGTGGATTTGGGGGTGGGTCCCTGTCCTCCTCTCCCCCAGCGCCCACCCCCACACCAGGCCTATGTGAGGGTCATGTGACTGAGACCGTCTCTTGTCTTACACCTGCTCTCAGCACCAGTGTGTGGGTTTATTTTGTTCTGAAGCTGGGGTTTTCTCATGTGTTCCTTTTCATTTCCTTTATTTTCCCAAATGAAATGTCATCCAAACGAGAACAAATTCCCAGAACCTGCAGGATGGAGGTCTTTGCTCTCCTCTGATTGCCAGTCTCTAGAATAACAGCCCTGAAGCCCCCCGTGTCCCACAGAGGGTGGTCCATGCCACCCCCAAAGCCCCCTGAAGCCCACAGAGGATGGTCCATGCACACCCCCAAAGCCCCCTGCATCCCACAGAATATGGCCCATGTGCACCCCAAAGCCCCATGCACCCCAGAGGATGGTCCATGCGCACCCCCAAAGCCCCCTGCATCCCACAGAATATGGCCCATGTGCACCCCAAAGCCCCATGCACCCCAGAGGATGGTCCATGTGCACCCCCAAAGCCCCCACATCCCACAGAGGATGGTCCATGCCACCTCCAAAGCCCCCCGCATCCCACAGACGGTGGTCCATGCACACCCCCAAAGCCCCAGCAGAGGCATGCTGACCGCACTCTGAGAGGCCTGAGGCTCCTGAGGCGGGCCTCCCCCAGATCTGGAGAGTGGACCTGATGGGAGGAAGGAGCTGGGGAGTGAGCAGGGGACAGAGCCGGTCCACCCTGTCCACCCCGTCCTCCCCGTCCACCCCATCCTCCCCGTCCACCCCGTCCACCCCGTCCTCCCCGTCCACCCCATCCTCCCCGTCCACCCCGTCCACCCCGTCCACCCCATCCTCCCCGTCCACCCCGTCCTCCCCGTCCACCCCGTCCTCCCCGTCCACCCCGTCCACCCCGTCCACCCCTCCACCCCGTCCACCCCATCCTCCCCGTTCTCCCTGTCCACCTCGTTCTCTGCAGCCCACCTCTGGGGCCTGAGTCCAGTCACATCCCCACTTCTCTTTCTCCTCCATCACCTTCCACATGACCCCAGCTCATAACATTCTGCACAGTGAGCATCAGCCCAGCACAAACAAAAAGCCCTTTCTCCAGGGCAGAAATTGTGAAAAATCTCCGGCCTCAGAATTTACAGCCACTTTCCCGCGAAATGCTTGACATTTCCCCACAATTTCTTAGATATACTCAGTGGGTAAAGTGCGTCATCTCTGTTTGAATTTAACGCACAGAATAAGCCATTTTCTCCACTTTAATGTCATCCCCTCGGTAACACGCAGGTCGGGGGCAAAAACGCAAAAACAGCAAATTTGTCAGTGGAATGTGCAAAGCTGGTGTAAATTTATCTTGTCCTAATCCCGTGCCTTTCTTCTGTGATTTCTCATATGCATAAGGGAGTTTCCCACGTATTGCTTTCTCACACATGTCACTGTCCGGGCCGCGGGGGGCCAGGCCGGTCCCTCAGCCCCATCAGGGCAGCCGGGCTTCCCTCCTTCCCTCTTATTAAACTGCAGCCACTCAACTCTGCTCCTCAGGTCATCTTCCCTGAAACCCTAGTGAGCAGGGCTCTGTGCCCCTCATCTCCTGAGAGGAGCTCAAACAGTGGCACCACGACCCAGCGTCCAGCATCCCGAATGAGGGTCCAGCGTCCCAGGTGGAGAGGAGGGAAGGGCACTCAGTGCCCCCTCCGTCAGACTCATTTCTCCTGTGACACTGTAGATCAGAACCCACGGCCCCAAGGACCCCACAGGGTGTGTGTGCGTCAGACCCTCATGGAGCCTGGAGCCCGGAGCCCGTGAGGGGAGGGACTTGCATCACAGGGATGCAGCTGAAGCAGATTGGGTACGAGATGCCCCTAAGATCACCTGGAGTTTTCACAAACAGCTTTTGTCCAAGAAGCACCCCTACCCCGTCTCACCTGTAACCTCCTCCCTCTTGCTGCAGAAACCCCCCCTCTGTTTTCAGGGGGTGTCAGCTCACCCCAACCCCTTGTCCAACCACACCCCCTCCCTGAGAAGGAAACCCACCAGGAGGACAAGCATCTCCTCCGATTCAGAGTCAGGTATGGGCACTCATCATGGTCGAGTGTCCCCCAGGTTCACGAAAAGTCAGCCATTTTCCGTTCATTTTAACCCCACCTCATCATTGGAAGCATCTCTTTTTAGCAGAAGTGAGCACATCAATCTATTAGAAAAAGAAAACAGCAGTAGTGTGGCTGGCACAGAGCAGGACTGACGGTGAGCAACGCAGAGGGGCAGAGTCTGAGCCGTCAGGAGCAGGTGGGGACAGCACAAGGACTCAGGCCGAGAGGAGGGTCCGGGAAGGATTCCCATCGCCCCTGCCCGCCGCGCTCAGGATGCACAGTCCCCCGGGCTCGCCCAACCACCTCTGCGACCTGCGGCGTCTAACACGCCAACCCCCGAGTGCCGCGGGAAAACTGTCTCTGGGTAAACATTAACCACCTTCTTCTTCTCAGGGATGTTTCCAAATGTTGATGCTTCTTTCTTTCTGTGTATTTATTTATTTTATTTTTATTGAAAAGCGTTACTGTGAAGGCGTTAGTTACTCAGTCGTGTCCGATTCTTCGCAACCCCCTGGACTGTAGCCCACCAGCCGCCTCTGTCCGCGGGAGTCTCCAGGCGAGAATACTGGAGTGGGTTGCCATGCCATCCTCCCCAGAATCTTCCCGACCCAGGTATCGATCCCAAGTCTCCTGCATTGCACAGGGGCTCTTTACCATCTGAGTCCTCAGTGAAGCACTCCCCACTTTTTACTGAAGTTGATCTGTGATGTCAGGTTGGTTTCACACGTACGGCTCAGTGACCCAGTCTCACACACACACACACACAAGTCAGATCCTTTTCCCTCACACGTCATCACAGATTACTGGGTAGACTTCCCTGTGCTGTGCGGCAGGTCCTTTTTGGAGATCTGTTTCACGCAGCGATAATTTGTCTCTTCCCCACTTCCCCCTCTGGTGACCGTAAGTCTGTTTCCTGTCTGTGAGTCTGTTTCTGTTTAGGAAACAAATTTGTGTGTATTTGCAGCAACTTGGATGGACCTAGAGAAGATCATACTAAGTGAAGTAAGCCAGAGAAAGACAAATATCATATGATATCGCTTATTCATGAAATCGAAATTTCTCACACCCTTCTCTGCAGAGAAGCCCGTGATGCTCAGACGGGCTCACATGTGGCAGAGCAGAGCCACAGACTTGTCCCAGGTCTGCCCCGTGTCACAGGTCCCGGGGATGGACACGTCACAGAGGCATCACTAAGGTGGGGTCACCCTGGGCTTCAGGTCAGCCCGAGGCACTTCTCCCCCAGCTCTGTGTCACTGTGGGGAGGGACGCACGCCCTCCAGAGACTACTGACCCACATCTGGCTCTGGGACCCCCCGTGAGGCGGAGGAGCGGCCACGGGACGGCCTTCAGGTTCAGATCCTGCAGGAGCTGGTGCCGCTGCGGCAGCACATGGACACGCTGAAAAAGACATTTGAAAAAGACTTTGGTCTCGAGGTCAATTCTGTTGTCATCTCTGATGCCATTTACCTTTAACGACAGCAGCGCAAACCTGGGAAAGGCCCTCTTTTGTTGGGTGTTCAGCCTTAAGTTCGTTTCTGCTGCCACCAGCTGATTTTCAGGTGAAGTCCCAGACTCTACCATGTGTGTTCCCAGCACGAGGTAGAGATGAATGGCTTTTATAGAGAAAAGAAATGCTCCCTTTTTACCACTAAAGGAAATATTACACCCCCTCCCAATACACACACACAACAAAAAACAGACTCACCACTTCACAGCCATGAGCTATGGGTGATGGAGACATTTCCAAAATTAGAACTCAAAAGAAAAAGTACCTCCATCCCATAGGATAGTAGTTGGTGTTTGTAGACAAACACTCAAACTTTTTCAGAGTAGTTTTCACCCCTGTAACACACAGCAGGGTCTCTGCTCGACAGCTGAGCTGTGATGACAAAATGACAGGCGTGGTTCTGACTGCAGAGACTTTCCATGGAGGAGACGGTCAGAGCACATAACAGGGCATGGAGCCTTCTGAGGGCTGCGCAGGCTGCACAGAGTGGAGACCTGTTGTCGGAGAGCAGGCCCCAGCCCCCGTAAGCACGGACTCGTCTCTGGGCGGGGTCCTGCAGCCAGGTGGTCACAGCAGTGCCCCGCTCACCAGGTGATGGGCCCCCCAGCAACAGGCGTCAACCTCAGGCTGAAATCAGAAAACTGATGCCAGACGAAAGGGCTGCTCAGAGCGTCATTTTGAGACTGACAGGATTTCAAGCATTTCAAGTCCTCCGCATAAGGCCAAGCTCCTGTGAACCTTTCATGATCGTCATGTGATTAGAACTTTAGCACCAACCAGGGTCTGGGGCATATGAGCCTTTCAGTGTATATTTGAGGAATTCAGTATATTTATTACTATCATTACGGTGGGGGTTACCTCTGAGATCTCCCCCTGGAGACCACACTGAGTTCCTGGACACGGATCAGACACAGTGAGCTGTCACTTTGAGTGCCCAACAGTGACCTCGGAGCACAGAGTTAGCTGCTGTTGTAGAAAATGCGAGCCTACTTCAAGACCCCAGAGTCACTGGTCTGAAAGAGAAGGTAAAAAAATCTGAACATTGCAACATGAGGATCAGATCCAGCGCAGATAAGCAGAACAGAGGATGTAGCTGTCAATTGTGCTTTGCAAAGACAGAGAGCAAAGTCATATTTAATGTCTTCACCGAATAATAAAACACTTACTGAGTATTTGTGAATACGCCAGATCCTGTAATCCTTTGCTCAAAAAATTGAAGATCACCTGTTAGTTAGAACACAACTCTGTAGACAAATAAATAAGATACAATGAAGAAAAGCAGATTTAACGCCAAATTTGTGTGGGGTTTTGTCAGGACTGGACAAGACAGAAAGCTCAGGTCATACCCGGCATGAAGTCAGTGCTGGGGTTGGAGTGCAAGCCCTTGATGGCAGACCACAGGTAGAATGCTGGAAAGGGGAGGGTTTGAGCACCTCTGCTCTCTGGCCAGGCGCCAGCTGGACAGTGGGCTGAAGAGCGGAAGAAAGGGGTGAGCAGGTCTGCAGACGCCGGTGGGGCTTCTGGGGAACAGCCGCTGGGCGGTAGGTGTGGAGTCAGAGCAGGTGAAGTGAAACTGGAAAGTGGCTGGGGCAGGCCTGGCACCGGGGTGAGAGCCCCATCGGCGTGAGCAGATACGACAAGTCATGTTGAAAGCTGGAGCAAAAGGAGAAAGTGGGGGACTGCGAGACAGCCGAGCACAGAGCCATCCAGTGGCCAGATGGGGCCTGGGCTTAGGCCACGCGAAGGCTCGCCCAGGGCCGGGACCTGCCCTTCCTTCCTGTCCCCATGCCCAGTATGGTCCCTGACTCCCGCCGTTGGCTGTAAGGCATTTATATTAAGGTACAAGCAGCTAAGGGCTTCTCCCATGGCTCAGCAGCCAAGAATCCACCTGCAATGCAGGAGACACAGAAGACTTGGTCAAGAAGCTCCCCTGGAGGAGGAAATGGCAACTCACCCCGGTATTCTTGCCTGAAAAATGCCATGAACAGAGAAGCATGGTGGGCTACAGTCCATGGGGTCACAGAGAGTTGGACAGGACTGAGCACACAATCACAGAGATAAGCTGGACAAGCCTGCAAGTCTAAGATGCTGAGAAAGTAGAAACTGTGAACTGAGTGCAGTGAGCAGGCAAAGATGGGGTTGACGGAAGTAAGGAAGCGTTGTAAGTGTGGTGGTGACTGAGCGTGGCTCTAAGATGGGGAGGAGCAGCGGGACGGGTGTGGGAAGCAGAGCGAAGGAGCGCCAGGCGTGCTCGCAGGTGAGAGAAGCACAGACCTGGAAACACACAGAACCACCTGGAAATGCTGTGAGCTATGGAACAAGCCCATGAGGCAGCTGGGCAAAAAGTAAGTCACCAAAGCATTACCAGTTCATATATTATCAGATGAACAAAATGCTGGAAAAAAATTAATTTATGAGATATTCACAAGATACCTACAGAGAAAACTTTGGAAAGTCTGAGTGTTCTGAAAGAAAATTTTTCTGCATTGAAGCCACAGTTTACTTTTAGATAGACATCCTTTTGAACTGCGGTGTTGGATAAGACTCTTGAGAGTCCCTTGGACTGCAAGGAGATCCAACCAGTCCATCCTAAAGGAAATCAGTCCTGAACATTCATTGGAAGGACTGATCCTGAAGCTGAAACTCCAATACTTTGGCCACCTGATGAGAAGAACTGACTCATTGGAAAAGACCCTGATGCTGGGAAAGATTGAAGGCAGGAGGAGAAGGGGACAGCAGAGGATGAGATGGTTGGATGGCATCACCAATTCAATGGACATGGGTTTGAGTAAACTCCGGGAGTTGACAACGGACAGGGAGGCCTGGCGTGCTACAGTCCATGGGGTTGGAGAGAGTCAGACATGACTGAGAGACTGAACTGAACTGAACTGAGACATCCGAACCAGGAGGGTGTCAATTCTACTTGAATTATTTTAAAATCCTGTGAGATCCTGATAAAACATCCATAAGAGCAAAACCAGAAAATGACACGCATAATGTTGCTGTGGAGAAAAAAGAAGAATTAGAGGCACTTTTCACAGCAGATGCTGAAACACACCACAATATCAGTGTCACAGCAGCTGAATCGAGTGGACGGAGAAATCAATGGGATAAAGCAAGAAACCCTGAGATAGAGCCACGTGTCTACATCAGAGTCACAGTATATTATAAAGGTGTCATTTCATATCACAGAGAAAACCAAGGTTCAATAAGTGCCCCAGGGACACGGAGGCCCAATCCGAGAAAACAAAGTTTGGTTCCTACCTTTCAACAGACATCAAAATAAATCCCGTATGGAATATAGCACTAAGTACAAAATAATAGCAAAACAGGATAGTGGAGGAAAATACCAGAAAAGCTTCCTAATCACTGAATGAGGAAGAATGTTTGAGAAAAAAAAAAAAAACAGAAATCCAGAGGCTGTAAAAGAACAGAGTGATACATTTAACTATGCAAAATAGAAGTTTTCCAGTGGCAAAGCACCACCAAATAGGCAAAAAGAGAAGTAAACAGGCAACATATTTATAACATAATCACAGAGAAAACCCTGCCCCCTTAATGTAAAGAGCTTCTACAAATCAAGAAGAGAAAGATTGATGAAATAATGGCAAGAGAGGCAGGAGGTGTGAACAGAAAAGAAATTCAAAAGTAAGAAATAACCCCGAAACACATGGACCAACCTGACTCTATGAGAAATGCAGACTAACACAATAGGGATACAATTTTTCATCCATTAGATTGACAAACATCTAACATTCACTCACACTCAGAAGTCAGAGTTGAGGATGAGGGTCTGATCAGTCACTCAGATACGTGGGTATCCACACAAGCTCTATGGGTAACCTAGCAATGACTGTCAAAACTGGAAATGTGTTTCAATATCTAAAATATACAAGCTTGCGGACCCAACCATCCCACCTGTAGAGGAGCTTCCTGCAGTCACACACCTGTGTGTGACCCAGGGATGCAGGGTCATCTCCAGGTCATCTCCGGGACAGCTCTGCTGACAACAGCTCAAGACAGGGTAGCAGTCTAAATGATGCTTTGCAGGAGGGGGCTTAGGAATGGACGCAACCACTCAAGGCCGGCAGAGGAGAGAACCTCTCCTGTAGGACATGCAAGACGGCTAACAGGCTTTGACTTCGGGAAGATGAAAGGGCTCTGGGCGACTTTCATCCCATCTTTAAATGTTGTACCTTGTACCTTGGATTACCTCTTCGCAGAAAAACAGTTTTAAGCAGTAGTATAAGAGGCGGGCCTCGGGAGAAGACAGAGACCATTTCCCAGGAGCTGAAGGCAGGTTTCAGGCGTATTTGCTGGGCAGGTCCCCAGGAGGCTCATTTCTGGGGCATGAAGTCACTGTGTGGATGGGAGGTGGCTGGGGACCAAAGGTGGGTGGCCAGGTGTGTACGCACTATTTTGGAGCCTCCCTGTGTGTCCACAGCCACAGAAACGTCTAAATCCATCAGAGGCCCGGGTTTTTCTCCATGGAAACCAGATCAGCATTATTTTGGGGCCCGGAACCAGGGACTCCTGGAGGACAGCCAGCTGCCCACCAGCGCTCGTAAGCGGAAGCTCCCACCAGCACTGGGTGTGGGGCTGCAGCTCTCCCAGAAGCTGAGGCTCTGTATGACTCACTCAGAGCAGAGCTGGCTCCCCCGACTTTCCTGAACCCCGACTGTCTCCAGGCTCCTGGACGAGACAGCGCTGGGATGAGGTCCCTGTCCCCTCTTCCCCGTAATATAACCTGAAAGTTTCATTGAAAATATCAAAGTCAGTGAAAAAACAAACTAAGAATGACCAATTTTAGTCTGGTGTTTCAATCCACATAGAGAAGTAAAAACACACACACAAAAAATCCTTCCAGTTTCTGAAAACCTAAGAAATATTCTATAGTGAACATCTCACAGGGTCTCTTAGAGGCCCCTAAAAATGGGATTTTAATGAATTGGTTTCTCTCTTCCCA